GACAAGACTTGAGGTACCGAAGAATATGATAAACTGCATCAAGATGAGGCTGACATGGCCTATGCATGAACTGACTAACTCGGCTGACTGCGAATGAAATGTCCGGCCTAGTATTAGCTAAGTAGATAAGTCTACCTACCAATTTTTGATAAACTGTCGGATCTTTCAACTCCTCACCTTCAGCAGTAAGCTTCAGGTTTGGAATCATAGGTGATGATGCCGGTTTGCACTCCAACATCCCAGTGTCTGAAAGGAGATCCAAAACATATTTTCTCTGAGAAAGAACAATACCTCTGCTTCTACGGGCAACCTCAATCCTAAGAAAGTATCGCAGAAATCCAAGATCCTTCACATCGAAGGCCTTCCCAAGGTCTATCTTGACCTGCGCAGTCCCAGAAANATCCCTTTTTCACACACATTCATTCCAAGTGTTAGTATCATACGAGACGGAGGCAAAATGATACGGATCGTAGTTTTGTATCATTTTTGCATTGTATCGTCCGATACACGATACGTTTTTACAATACGATACGTATCAGTACGATACGCCCAAAAACTGTTTAATTTTTTTTTTGATGGAACGACATTGTTTTGTCTAAATAAGAAACTAATTTTTTTATTCCTACCACTAAAATGACGTCGTTTCAGTGACTAAGGTTTACAAAAAAAATAAAATCCCTCTTTTCCTCTCCTCTTCGGTGTTCGCTGTCTTCTTTCTGGGACTTGGGCGTTCTTCAGACCTCGCGAGTCATGACGACGCGACACACAACAGCCTTTGACGACGTTCTTTAGACTTCACAATGACGAAACATAGCAAATTTCTCTATTCTGATGAAGTCTAGCCCCTCGCTCTCTTCTCTCTATTGTTCACGATGACGAACTCAGTCTAGCCCCTCTTTCTTTTCTCTCTGTTCTTCGTCTTCACTCTCTTCTCCCTGTTCTTCATCGACAAAGGCAACAAAATTTGAGAAGCCATCGAAGCAGCCCTGGATCTGCAGCTGCAGCTGCCTTCTTCTTCCTTCTCCAGCTACTCCAGCTAAACTTGTGCAGCGTAAGAAATTCTGTTAATTTATTTACAAAGCCAAATAATTTTTATTTTTTTTGTATAAAAATTTCTGAATCTTGATTAATTTTAATTTTGTGAAACAGTGACATCACCAGCATCCTATTTTCATATAGAAATGACTAAAAAACTTGCTAATGATCCCACATGGGAACATTGTGACAAAGTAGAAGGATCAAGGTTGACTAAAAAACTTGTTAATGATCCCACACGGGAACATTGTGACAAAGTAGAAGAATCAAGGTTGAAATTGAAATTCATTCATTGTGCAAATGTCTATTGGGGAAGCATTTTAAGAATGAAAAATCATTTAGCAAGTAATCGTAAAGATGTAGCGTCATGAAAGCATTGCCCTAAGGAAGTAACTGAATTTTTTACGTAATTTTTGGATGATAGGGCATCTAGTAAAGATATGAGTCTTGTGGATTTGAAAAATAGTGGCAGTGTGGGTAGTACTACTGCTAATAAAATACAGCCAACCACCATCATTACTTTGAATACCATATTGAAGAAAAAGGGTAGGGAAGATGTATGATTGAATATTTGTAGATGTTTTTATGATAATGCTCTTCCTTTTAATTTGGTAAAGGATTCATATTTTGTAAGAATGTTAGAATTTATTGCATCGTTTGGCAAGGGATTGAAACCTTCATCGTATCATGAGGTTAGATGTTCTTTTTTGAAAAAAGGAAACATATTTGATTAATGATGGTTTGATGAAAAATTATAAAGCAGAGTGGAGAAATACGGGTTGTACTCTTATGTCTGATGGATGGACTGATGGGAAATATTGTTCTATCACTAATTTTTTAGTGAATGGTTCTAGAGGAAGTGTGTTTCTTAAAAGTATTGATATTTCAGGCATTTGTAAGAATGCGGATAATCTTTTTCAGCTTTTAGATTTAATGGTAGAAGAGATTGGTGAGGACAATATTATTCAGGTTGTGACTGATAGTGCATCGGCTTATGTAAAAGCTGGGGAGTTGTTAATGGCAAAGAGGAAAAAGTTGTTTTGGTCTCCTTGCACTGCACATTGTCTAGATCTTATTTTGACGGATATTAGAGACCTTCCTCTACACAAGGATATGATGGCAAATGCAAGGAAAATCACAATTTACATTTATAGATATTCTTGAGTGTTAAATCTTATGAGGAAGTATACAAAGAAAAGGAATTTGGTGAAAGCTTGTGTGACCAGATTTGTCATCTCATATTTAACTTTAAGGAGTTTATTTGAGAATAAAATTGGACTTAGAGCAATGTTTGCTTCTGAAGAATGACAGAAAAATCAATACTCTAAGAAGGGAGATGGTGTAAAAGTGATGAATATTATACTAACTGACCAAAAGTTTTGGGGATCAATCAAGTATTGCTTGAAGTGTGTGTTGCCATCGGTGAAAGTGAGGTGTTGAGGCTTGTAGATGGGGATATAAAGTCTGTCATGGGGTATATTTACGAGGCAATGGACAAGGCAAAAGAACAAATCCAAAAGAATTTTCGTAATGTGAAGAAGCACTATGAGCCCATATGGACTATTGCTGACACTAAATGGAACATGCAATTACACAGACCTCTTCAATCTAGCGTAAGATTTAAGTTTCTCAATTTTTATATCATTTTATATCTATTTATTGTATATTGATCAATGATCATTGTAAATCAAAATAATTATTTCAGGTTTCATCACAATGGTAGTGCGGACTATGAGATAAAGATGAGACTTTATCAGACTATTTAGATAATGTGCTCAAGTCCTATTGTGAGAGAAAAAGTTGATAAACAATTAGATATCTTTCACAATGCTGATTTGATATTTGAAATGGACATGACAATCCAGATGAGGAAGAAGAAACAATCTGGTTAATGGTAACCTAACTTAAG